AGACAATGTTCTGTGTGTTTTGAGGGGAGAAAATGTTCTGTGTGGAGTGAGTGGAGACAACGTCCTGTTTGTTCTGAATGGAGACAATCTCCTGTGTGGTCTAAGTGGAGACAACGTCCGGTGTGTTCTGAGTGGAGACAATCTCCTGTGTGTAGTGAGCGGAGAAAATGTCGTGTGTGTTCTGAATGGAAACAATGTCCTGTGTTTAGTAGGTGGAGACAATGTCCTGTGTGTATTGAGTGAAGAAAATGTCCTGTGTGGTCTCAGTGGAGACAATTTTCTGTGTGTTCTGTGTGGAGAGAATGTTCTGTGTGTTCTGAGTGGAGACAACGTCCTGTGTGTTCTGAGTGGAGACAATGTTCTTTGTGTAGTAAGTGGAGACAACGTCCGGTGTGTTCTGAGTGGAGACAATCTCCTGTGTGTAGTGAGTGGAGTCAATTTTCTCCGTGTTCTGAGTGGAGACAATGTTCTGTGTGTGTTTTGAGGGGAGACAATGTTCTGTGTGGAGTGAGTGGAGACAATGTCCTGTGTGTTCTGAGTGGAGTCAATTTTCTGTGTGGAATGAGTGGCGACAATGTCCTGTGTGTACTGAGTGGAGGCAATGTCCTGTGTGAAGTATGTGGAGACAATGTCCTGTGTGCAGTGAGTGGAGACAATGTCCTGTGTGGAGTGAGTGCAGACAATGTCCTGTGTGTTCTGAGTGGAGACAGTGTCCTGTATGTACTGAGTAGAGACAATGGTTGTGTTCTCAGTGGAAACAATGTCCTGTGTCTAGTGAGTGGAGACAATGTCCTGTGTGTACTGAGTGGAGACAACGTCCTGTGTGTTCTGAGTGGAGACAATTTTCTGTGTGTTTTGTGTGGAGACAATGTTCTGTGTGTTCTGAGTGGAGACAATGTCCTGTGTGTTCTGAGTGGAGACAGTGTTCTTTGTGTAGTAAGTGGAGACAACGTCCGGTGTGTTCTGAGTGGAGACAATATCCTGTGTGTAGTGAGTGGAGTCAATTTTCTCCGTGTTCTGAGTGGAGACAATGTTCTGTGTGTTTTGAGGGGAGACAATGTTCTGTGTGGAGTGAGTGGAGACAATCTCCTGTGTGTAGTGAGTGGAGTCAATTTTCTGTGTGGAGTGAGTGGCGACAATGTCCTGTGTGTACTGAGTGGATACAAAGTCCTGTGTGTACTGAGTGGAGACAATGTGCTGTGTGAAGTGTGTGGAGACAATGTGATGTGTGCAGTGAGTGGAGACAATGTCCTGTGTGGAGTGAGTGGAGACAATGTCCTGTGTGTTCTGAGTGGAGACAGTGTCTTGTGTGTACTGAGTGGAGACAATGTTCTGTTTTCTCAGTGGAAACAATGTCCTGTGTGTAGTGAGTGGAAACAATGTCCTGTGTGTACTTAGTGGAGACAATGTTCTGTGTGTAGTGAGTGGATACAAAGTCCTGTGTGTACTGAGTGGAGTCAATGTCCTGTGTGTAGTGAGTGGAGGCAATGTCCTGTGTGTAGTGAGTGGAAACAGTGTCCTGTGTTTACTGAGTGGAGACAATGCCCTGTGTGTAGTGAGTGGAGACAATGTCCTGTGTGTTCTGAGTGGAGACAATGTCCTGTGTGTAGTGAGTGGAGACAATGTCCTGTGTGTACTGAGTGGAGGCAATGTCCTGTGTGAAGTATGTGGAGACAATGTCCTGTGTGCAGTGAGTGGAGACAATGTCCTGTGTGGAGTGAGTGCAGACAATGTCCTGTGTGTTCTGAGTGGAGACAGTGTCCTGTATGTACTCAGTAGAGACAATGGTTGTGTTCTCAGTGGAAACAATGTCCTGTGTCTAGTGAGTGGAGACAATGTCCTGTGTGTACTGAGTGGAGACAATGTCGTGTGTGTAGTGAGTGGAGACAATGTTCTTTGTGGAGTAAGTGGAGACAACGTCCGGTGTGTTCTGAGTGGAGACAATGTTCTTTGTGGAGTAAGTGGAGACAACGTCCGGTGTGTTCTGAGTGGAGACAATCTCCTGTGTGGAGTGAGTGGAGTCAATTTTGTGTGTGGAGTGAGTGGCGATAGTGTCCTGTGTGAAGTGTGTGGAGACAATGTCCTGTGTGCAGTGAGTGGAGACAATGTCCTGTGTGTTCTGAGTGGAGACAGTGTCTTGTGTGTACTGAGTGGAGACATTGTTCTGTGTGAAGTGTGTGGAGACAATGTCCTGTGTGCAGTGAGTGGAGACAATGTCCTGTGTGGAGTGAGTGGTGACAATGTCCTGTGTGTTCTGAGTGGAGACAATGTCTTGTGTGTACTGAGTGGAGACATTGTGCTGTGTGAAGTGTGTGGAGACAATGTCCTGTGTGTACTGAGTGGAGACAATGTCCTGTGTGGAGTGAGTGCAGACAATGTCCTGTGTGTTCTGAGTGGAGACAGTGTCCTGTATGTACTGAGTGGAGACAATGCTTGTGTTCTCAGTGGAAACAATGTCCTGTGTCTAGTGAGTGGAGACAATGTCCTGTGTGTACTGAGTGGAGACAGTGTCCTGTGTGTACTGAGTGGAGACAATGTCGTGTGTGTTCTGAGTGGAGAGAATTTTCTGTGTGTTCTGTGTGGAGAAAATGTTCTGTGTGTTCTGAGTGGAGACAACGTCCTGTGTGTTCTGAGTGGAGACAATGTCCTGTGTGTAGTGAGTGGAGACAATGTCCTGTGTCTAGTGAGTGGAGACAATGTCCTGTGTTTACTGAGTTGAGACAATGTCCTGTGTGTAGTGAGTGGAGACAATGTCCTGTGTGAAGTGAGTGGAGGCAATGTTCTGTGTTCTCAGTGGAAACAATGTCCTGTGTGTACTTAGTGGAGACAATGTCCTGTGTGTAGTGTGTGGATACAAAGTCCTGTGTGTACTGAGTGGAGGGAATGTCCTGTGTGTAGTGAGTGGAGGCAATGTCCTGTGTGTAGTGAGTGGAAACACTGTCAGGTGTTCAGCTTGAAAATTCTTGAGTTTCTCGAGTTTCTCGTGGTTCTGGGCTCATGCGATGCAACTCATTTCGGCTGAGTGAAGTTTTCAGCTTTCTCGTAAAGTCCATCAAAATGAAGACTTGTTTTCCGAACGAGTTGAGTTTCAACAACATCCCGGCAACTTGCAGCTGCACACAGCACAACACTGCAATCTTCTTCAACAGTAAAATCTCCCATTTTCAAATCGGCTGGCAGAACAAACGACATCTTGAGAACTGTAGGCTCCCGCGCTACCTTCTCTGATCGAAATGTCCTGTATTGAAGAAGGATTTCACTTCTGAACGATAGAATTGAAGACACACGCTTCTTTATAAAGCCTGTGACGGAAGCTCGGGTAATGCGGCGTGGGCGTGGGCGTGGGCGTGGGCGTGGGCGAGGGAGAGGGCGAGGGCGTGGCCAATATCATAGACCAATCGAATGCAGTTCACACATCCGGCCGCGTGTGTCGTCAATCCTTCAAGTCATTGCAGGTGTGAAAATCATATGTCGCATTGATTTACGTAAGTACTGTCGGAAATACTAGAAAACTGTTTTTTGCCTGCTAAAAAAGGATGTAATTTTCTACAGACTGTTGTTATTGAAATATCAAGTAACTACCGATCGACCTCCCTGTGGTTTGAAGTATTTCAGTCACCAGGAGTCCTATCGACAAATTTAGAGGAGACAAATTCGAACGAAAACAGGAAGTTTACATTTATTCAAGTCTAATGATGGCAGTCTGAAACGGACTATAGAAATATGCGCTCGTGACTCCGTTCAAATGATAATAATGTAATCTTCATAAAACATCTAATCCACACACAAAAATCATTTTGAGAAAATTCTAGATATGCATTTTCTATAATGACAAAATGAGGCCGCGTTTGTTTTGTTAACATTGCTCTCATGATGCATGTTACATAACACTTGCATGGATTCTTTATTTGGAAATGTTTTCAAGTTCTTTACACTTTAGATTGATAGAGGAAAACCATTTATTAATTTAGATAGGGTGAATTACCGAACTGCCCAAATTATTGGGTTTTCAATTCATACCATCAAGTCGACGGTATTAAATAAAACAAAACAGGTTTAGTGGTGGTCTCAAAGACAAAACTGGGACGTAAAAGGATATTGGACAGCTTTGATACAGTTTAATTAGGCATATAGTGTATAGGTTTTATGAGCAGAAGGTAACCCTGACTTGTAGTAGAATTTGGGAGGAATTAAAGATACAAGTCATGTCAACTGCACTAACTATTGCTCTCCAAAAGATGGGATTTCGATACACTGCGATGACTGAGCACTTTTCGGGGGAAAATATTCCATCCTGTCTATGAGGCCATATTATCTCCGAAACATTACTAACAATCACGCGTCCAGGTATTCACATTGATGAATTATTATGACGTGTACTGAGTGGAGACAATGTCCTGTGTGGTCTAAGTGGAGACAATGTCCTGTGTGTAGTGAGTGGAGCCAATGTCCTGTGTGTAGTGAGTGGAGACAGTGTCCTGAGTGTAGTGAGTGGAGACAATGTCCTGTGTGTAGTGAGTGGAGCCAATGTCCTGTGTGTAGTGAGTGGAGACAATGTCCTGTGTGTAGTGAGTGGAGACAATGTCATGTGTGTAGTGAGTGGAGAGAATGTCCTGTGTGTACTGAGTGGAGACAATGTCCTGTGTGTACTGAGTGGAGACAGTGTCCTGTGTGTAGTGAATGGAGACAATGTCGTGTGTGTTCTGAGTGGAGACAATTTTCTGTGTGTTCTGTGTGGAGACAATGTTCTGTGTGTTCTGAGTGGAGACAACGTCCTGTGTGTTCTGAGTGGAGACAATGTTCTTTGTGGAGTAAGTGGAGACAACGTCCGGTGTGTTCTGAGTGGAGACAATCTCCTGTGTGTAGTGAGTGGAGTCAATTTTCTCTGTGTTCTGAGTGGAGACAATGTTCTGTGTGTTTTGAGGGGAGAAAATGTTCTGTGTGGAGTGAGTGGAGACAACGTCCTGTTTGTTCTGAATGGAGACAATCTCCTGTGTGGTCTAAGTGGAGACAACGTCCGGTGTGTTCTGAGTGGAGACAATCTCCTGTGTGTAGTGAGCGGAGAAAATGTCGTGTGTGTTCTGAATGGAAACAATGTCCTGTGTTTAGTAGGTGGAGACAATGTCCTGTGTGTATTGAGTGAAGAAAATGTCCTGTGTGGTCTCAGTGGAGACAATTTTCTGTGTGTTCTGTGTGGAGAGAATGTTCTGTGTGTTCTGAGTGGAGACAACGTCCTGTGTGTTCTGAGTGGAGACAATGTTCTTTGTGTAGTAAGTGGAGACAACGTCCGGTGTGTTCTGAGTGGAGACAATCTCCTGTGTGTAGTGAGTGGAGTCAATTTTCTCCGTGTTCTGAGTGGAGACAATGTTCTGTGTGTGTTTTGAGGGGAGACAATGTTCTGTGTGGAGTGAGTGGAGACAATGTCCTGTGTGTTCTGAGTGGAGTCAATTTTCTGTGTGGAATGAGTGGCGACAATGTCCTGTGTGTACTGAGTGGAGGCAATGTCCTGTGTGAAGTATGTGGAGACAATGTCCTGTGTGCAGTGAGTGGAGACAATGTCCTGTGTGGAGTGAGTGCAGACAATGTCCTGTGTGTTCTGAGTGGAGACAGTGTCCTGTATGTACTGAGTAGAGACAATGGTTGTGTTCTCAGTGGAAACAATGTCCTGTGTCTAGTGAGTGGAGACAATGTCCTGTGTGTACTGAGTGGAGACAACGTCCTGTGTGTTCTGAGTGGAGACAATTTTCTGTGTGTTTTGTGTGGAGACATTGTTCTGTGTGTTCTGAGTGGAGACAATGTCCTGTGTGTTCTGAGTGGAGACAGTGTTCTTTGTGTAGTAAGTGGAGACAACGTCCGGTGTGTTCTGAGTGGAGACAATATCCTGTGTGTAGTGAGTGGAGTCAATTTTCTCCGTGTTCTGAGTGGAGACAATGTTCTGTGTGTTTTGAGGGGAGACAATGTTCTGTGTGGAGTGAGTGGAGACAATCTCCTGTGTGTAGTGAGTGGAGTCAATTTTCTGTGTGGAGTGAGTGGCGACAATGTCCTGTGTGTACTGAGTGGATACAAAGTCCTGTGTGTACTGAGTGGAGACAATGTGCTGTGTGAAGTGTGTGGAGACAATGTGATGTGTGCAGTGAGTGGAGACAATGTCCTGTGTGGAGTGAGTGGAGACAATGTCCTGTGTGTTCTGAGTGGAGACAGTGTCTTGTGTGTACTGAGTGGAGACAATGTTCTGTTTTCTCAGTGGAAACAATGTCCTGTGTGTAGTGAGTGGAAACAATGTCCTGTGTGTACTTAGTGGAGACAATGTTCTGTGTGTAGTGAGTGGATACAAAGTCCTGTGTGTACTGAGTGGAGTCAATGTCCTGTGTGTAGTGAGTGGAGGCAATGTCCTGTGTGTAGTGAGTGGAAACAGTGTCCTGTGTTTACTGAGTGGAGACAATGCCCTGTGTGTAGTGAGTGGAGACAATGTCCTGTGTGTTCTGAGTGGAGACAATGTCCTGTGTGTAGTGAGTGGAGACAATGTCCTGTGTGTAGTGAGTGGAGGCAATGTCCTGTGTGAAGTATGTGGAGACAATGTCCTGTGTGCAGTGAGTGGAGACAATGTCCTGTGTGGAGTGAGTGCAGACAATGTCCTGTGTGTTCTGAGTGGAGACAGTGTCCTGTATGTACTGAGTAGAGACAATGGTTGTGTTCTCAGTGGAAACAATGTCCTGTGTCTAGTGAGTGGAGACAATGTCCTGTGTGTACTGAGTGGAGACAATGTCGTGTGTGTAGTGAGTGGAGACAATGTTCTTTGTGGAGTAAGTGGAGACAACGTCCGGTGTGTTCTGAGTGGAGACAATGTTCTTTGTGGAGTAAGTGGAGACAACGTCCGGTGTGTTCTGAGTGGAGACAATCTCCTGTGTGGAGTGAGTGGAGTCAATTTTGTGTGTGGAGTGAGTGGCGATAGTGTCCTGTGTGAAGTGTGTGGAGACAATGTCCTGTGTGCAGTGAGTGGAGACAATGTCCTGTGTGTTCTGAGTGGAGACAGTGTCTTGTGTGTACTGAGTGGAGACATTGTTCTGTGTGAAGTGTGTGGAGACAATGTCCTGTGTGCAGTGAGTGGAGACAATGTCCTGTGTGGAGTGAGTGGTGACAATGTCCTGTGTGTTCTGAGTGGAGACAATGTCTTGTGTGTACTGAGTGGAGACATTGTGCTGTGTGAAGTGTGTGGAGACAATGTCCTGTGTGTACTGAGTGGAGACAATGTCCTGTGTGGAGTGAGTGCAGACAATGTCCTGTGTGTTCTGAGTGGAGACAGTGTCCTGTATGTACTGAGTGGAGACAATGCTTGTGTTCTCAGTGGAAACAATGTCCTGTGTCTAGTGAGTGGAGACAATGTCCTGTGTGTACTGAGTGGAGACAGTGTCCTGTGTGTACTGAGTGGAGACAATGTCGTGTGTGTTCTGAGTGGAGAGAATTTTCTGTGTGTTCTGTGTGGAGAAAATGTTCTGTGTGTTCTGAGTGGAGACAACGTCCTGTGTGTTCTGAGTGGAGACAATGTCCTGTGTGTAGTGAGTGGAGACAATGTCCTGTGTCTAGTGAGTGGAGACAATGTCCTGTGTTTACTGAGTTGAGACAATGTCCTGTGTGTAGTGAGTGGAGACAATGTCCTGTGTGAAGTGAGTGGAGGCAATGTTCTGTGTTCTCAGTGGAAACAATGTCCTGTGTGTACTTAGTGGAGACAATGTCCTGTGTGTAGTGTGTGGATACAAAGTCCTGTGTGTACTGAGTGGAGGGAATGTCCTGTGTGTAGTGAGTGGAGGCAATGTCCTGTGTGTAGTGAGTGGAAACAGTGTCCTGTGTGTTCTGAGTGGAGACAGTGTCCTGTATGTACTGAGTGGAGACAATGCTTGTGTTCTCAGTGGAAACAATGTCCTGTGTCTAGTGAGTGGAGACAATGTCCTGTGTGTACTGAGTGGAGACAGTGTCCTGTGTGTACTGAGTGGAGACAATGTCGTGTGTGTTCTGAGTGGAGAGAATTTTCTGTGTGTTCTGTGTGGAGAAAATGTTCTGTGTGTTCTGAGTGGAGACAACGTCCTGTGTGTTCTGAGTGGAGACAATGTCCTGTGTGTAGTGAGTGGAGACAATGTCCTGTGTCTAGTGAGTGGAGACAATGTCCTGTGTTTACTGAGTTGAGACAATGTCCTGTGTGTAGTGAGTGGAGACAATGTCCTGTGTGAAGTGAGTGGAGGCAATGTTCTGTGTTCTCAGTGGAAACAATGTCCTGTGTGTACTTAGTGGAGACAATGTCCTGTGTGTAGTGTGTGGATACAAAGTCCTGTGTGTACTGAGTGGAGGGAATGTCCTGTGTGTAGTGAGTGGAGGCAATGTCCTGTGTGTAGTGAGTGGAAACAGTGTCCTGTGTGTAGTGAGTGGAGACAATGTCCTGTGTGAAGTGAGTGGAGACAATGTCCTGTGTGTTCTGAGTGGAGACAATGTCCTGTGTGTAGTGAGTGGATACAAAGTCCTGTGTGTAGTGAGTGGAGACAATGTCCTGTGTGAAGTGAGTGGAGACAATGTCCTGTGTGTTCTGAGTGGAGACAATGTCCTGTGTGTAGTGAGTGGAGACAATGTCCTGTGTGTACTGAGTGGAGGCAATGTCCTGTGTGAAGTATGTGGAGACAATGTCCTGTGTGCAGTGAGTGGAGACAATGTCCTGTGTGGAGTGAGTGCAGACAATGTCCTGTGTGTTCTGAGTGGAGACAGTGTCCTGTATGTACTGAGTAGAGACAATGGTTGTGTTCTCAGTGGAAACAATGTCCTGTGTCTAGTGAGTGGAGACAATGTCCTGTGTGTACTGAGTGGAGACAATGTCGTGTGTGTAGTGACTGGAGACAATGTTCTTTGTGGAGTAAGTGGAGACAATGTCCGGTGTGTTCTGAGTGGAGACAATGTTCTTTGTGGAGTAAGTGGAGACAACGTCCGGTGTGTTCTGAGTGGAGACAATCTCCTGTGTGTAGTGAGTGGAGTCAATTTTCTCTGTGTTCTGAGTGGAGACAATGTTCTGTGTGTTTTGAGGGGACAGAATGTTCTGTGTGGAGTGAGTGGAGACAATCTCCTGTGTGGAGTGAGTGGAGTCAATTTTGTGTGTGGAGTGAGTGGAGACAATGTCCTGTGTGAAGTGTGTGGAGACAACGTCCGGTGTGTTCTGAGTGGAGACAATGTCCTGTGTGGAGTGAGTGGAGTCAATTTTGTGTGTGGAGTGAGTGGCGATAGTGTCCTGTGTGAAGTGTGTGGAGACAATGTCCTGTGTGTTCTGAGTGGAGACAGTGTCTTGTGTGTAGTGAGTGGAGACATTGTGCTGTGTGAAGTGTGTGGAGACAATGTGCTGTGTGTACTGAGTGGAGACAATGTCCTGTGTGGAGTGAGTGCAGAGAATGTCCTGTGTGTTCTGAGTGGAGACAGTGTCCTGTATGTACTGAGTGGAGACAATGCTTGTGTTCTCAGTGGAAACAATGTCCTGTGTCTAGTGAGTGGAGACAATGTCCTGTGTGTACTGAGTGGAGACAGTGTCCTGTGTGTACTGAGTGGAGACAATGTCGTGTGTGTTCTGAGTGGAGAGAGTTTTCTGTGTGTTCTGTGTTGAGAAAATGTTCTGTGTGTTCTGAGTGGAGACAACGTCCTGTGTGTTCTGAGTTGAGACAATGTCCTGTGTGTAGTGAGTGGAGACAATGTCCTGTGTGTACTGAGTGGAGACAATGTTCTGTGTGTAGTGAGTGGATACAAAGTCCTGTGTGTACTGAGTGGAGTCAATGTCCTGTGTGTAGTGAGTGGAGGCAATGTCCTGTGTGTAGTGAGTGGAAACAGTGTCCTGTGTTTAGTGAGTGGAGACAATGCCCTGTGTGTAGTGAGTGGAGACAATGTCCTGTGTGTTCTGAGTGGAGACAATGTCCTGTGTGTAGTGAGTGGAGACAATGTCCTGTGTGTACTGAGTGGAGGCAATGTCCTGTGTGAAGTATGTGGAGACAATGTCCTGTGTGCAGTGAGTGGAGACAATGTCCTGTGTGGAGTGAGTGCAGACAATGTCCTGTGTGTTCTGAGTGGAGACAGTGTCCTGTATGTACTGAGTAGAGACAATGGTTGTGTTCTCAGTGGAAACAATGTCCTGTGTCTAGTGAGTGGAGACAATGTCCTGTGTGTACTGAGTGGAGACAATGTCGTGTGTGTAGTGAGTGGAGACAATGTTCTTTGTGGAGTAAGTGGAGACAACGTCCGGTGTGTTCTGAGTGGAGACAATGTTCTTTGTGGAGTAAGTGGAGACAACGTCCGGTGTGTACTGAGTTGAGACAATGTCCTGTGTGTAGTGAGTGGAGACAATGTTCTGTGTTCTCAGTGGAAACAATGTCCTGTGTGTACTTAGTGGAGACAATGTCCTGTGTGTAGTGAGTGGATACAAAGTCCTGTGTGTACGGAGTGGAGGGAATGTCCTGTGTGTAGTGAGTGGAGGCAATGTCCTGTGTGTAGTGAGTGGAAACAGTGTCCTGTGTGTAGTGAGTGGAGACAATGTCCTGTGTGCACTGAGTGGAGACAATGTCCTGTGTGTAGTGGTGAAGACAATGTTCTTTGTGGAGTAAGTGGAGACAACGTCCGGTGTGTTCTGAGTGAAGACAATGTCCTGTGTGTAGTGAGTGGAGTCAATTTTCTCTGTGGTCTGAGTGGAGACAATGTTCTGTGTGTTTTGAGGGGAGACAATGTTCTGTGTGGAGTGAGTCGAGACAACGTCCTGTGTGAAGTGTGTGGAGACAATGTCCTGTGTGGAGTGAGAGGCGACAATGTCCTGTGTGTACTGAGTGGAGACAATGTCCTGTGTGTACTGAGTGGAGACAATGTCCTGTGTGTAGTGAGTGGAGACAATGTCCTGTGTGTTCTGAGTGGAAACAATGTCCTGTGTGTACTGAGTGGAGACAATGTCCTGTGTGCACTGAGTGGAGGCAATGTCCTTTGTGAAGTATGTGGAGACAATGTCCTGTGTGCAGTGAGTGGAGACAATGTCCTGTGTGGAGTGAGTGCAGACAATGTCCTGTGTGTTCTGAGTGGAGACAGTGTCCTGTATGTACTGAGTGGAGACAATGCTTGTGTTCTCAGTGGAAACAATGTCCTGTGTCTAGTGAGTGGAGACAATGTCCTGTGTGTACTGAGTGGAGACAGTGTCCTGTGTGTACTGAGTGGAGACAATGTCGTGTGTGTTCTGAGTGGAGAGAATTTTCTGTGTGTTCTGTGTGGAGAAAATGTTCTGTGTGTTCTGAGTGGAGACAACGTCCTGTGTGTTCTGAGTGGAGACAATGTCCTGTGTGTAGTGAGTGGAATCAATTTTCTCTGTGTTTTGAGGGGAGACAATGTTTTTTGTGGAGTGAGTGGCGAGAACGTCCTGTTTGTTCTGAATGGAGAAAATCTCCTGTGTGGCCTAAGTGGAGACAATGTTCTGAGTGTTCTGAGTGGAGACAATGTTCTGTGTTTTCTGAGTGGAGACAACGTCCTGTGTGTTCTGAGTGGAGACAATGTTCTTTGTGGAGTGAGTGGAGACAAAGTCCGGTGTGTTCTGAGTGGAGACAATCTCCTGTGTCTAGTGAGCGGAGAAAATGTCGTGTGTGTTCTGAGTGGAAACAATGTCCTGTGTGTAGTAGGTGGAGACAATGTCCTGTGTGTATTGAGTAGAGAAAATGTCCTGTGTGGTCTAAGTGGAGACAATTTTCTGTGTGTTCTGAGTGGAGACAACGTCCTGTGTGGAGTGAGTTTGAGACAACGTCCGGAGTGTTCTGAGTGGGGACAATGTTCTGCGTGGAGTGAGTGGAGACAATGTCCTGTGTGTAGTGAGTGGAGACAATGTCCTGTGTGTAGTGAGTGGAGACAATGTCCTGTGTGAAGTGAGTGGAGACAATATCCTGTGTGTACTGAGTGGAGACAATGTCCTGTGTGTACAGAGTGTATACAAAGTCCTGTGTGTAGTGAGTGGAGACAATGTCCTGTGTGTTCTGAGTGGAGACAATGTCTTGTGTGTACTGAGTGGAGACAATGTCCTGTGTGTAGTGAGTGGAGACAATGTCCTGTGTGTTTTGAGTGGAGACCGTGGCATGTGTGTACTGAGTGGAGACAATGTCCTGTATGTAGTGAGTTGAGACAATGTCCTGTGTTCAGTGAGTGGAGACAATGTCCGGAGTGTTCTGAGTGGGGACAATGTTCTGTGTGGAGTGAGTGGAGACAATGTCCTGTGTGTAGTGAGTGGAGACAATGTCCTGTGTGTAGTGAGTGGAGACAATGTCCTGAGTGTACTGAGTGTATACAAAGTCCTGTGTGTAGTGAGTGGAGACAATGTCCTGTGTGTTCTGAGTGGAGACAATGTCTTGTGTGTACTGAGTGGAGACAATGTCCTGTGTGTAGTGAGTGGAGACAATGTCCTGTGTGTTCTGAGTGGAGACAGTGTCTTGTGTGTACTGAGTGGAGACAATGTCCTGTATGTAGTGAGTGGAGACAATGTCCTGTGTGCAGTGAGTGGAGACAATGTCCTGTGTGTTCTGAGTGGAGAGAATGTCATGTGTGTTCTGAGTGGAGACAATGTCCTGTGTGTACTGAGTGGAGACAATGTCCTGTGTGTAGTGAGTGGAGGCAATGTCCTGTGTGTAGTGAGTGGAGACAATGTCCTGTGTGTAGTGATTTGAGACAATGTCCTGTGTGGTATGAGTGTAGACAATGTCCTGTGTGAAGTGTGTGGAGACAATGTCCTGTGTGTACTGAGTGGAGATAGTGCCCTGTGTGTAGTGAGTGGAGACAATCTCCTGTGTGTTCTGAGTGGAGACAATGTCCTGTGTGTTCTGAGTGGAGACAGTGTCCTGTGTGTAGTGAGTGGAGACAATGTCCTGTGTGAAGTGAGTGGAGACAATGTCCTTTGTGTAGTGAGTGGAGACAATGTCATGTGTGTACTGAGTTGAGACAATGTCCTGTGTGTAGTGAGTGGAGACAATGTCCTGTATGTACTGAGTGGAGACAATGTCCTGTGTGCACTGAGTGGAGACAATGTCCTGTGTGTAGTGAGTGGAGACAATGTCCCCAAACAAAGTGGGCTGTTTCGGGTCTCATTCATGAAAATAGGATATAAAGACATATTTACCCCAGGTATCTAAAGTTCCAATTAAGTCAATAAATGTCTTTCACTGACATTTATTTTTAAAATGCCATCTCTCAGAATTGTACACACCCACTCCCATTCCCACACACACCTACATGTTCATAGATTCTTGGACAAGACTAAATATGTGCACGTTAGCATATCGCGGAAGACATTATGCACTTAAGACAGACAGGAAGTAGGCTTTGGATTTCATGTCACGATTCGAAAGTCCTGCTCAGACCGTGTGAGGGTGTCCATTGACTGCCCCCACGAAGCACGACACGATAGATGGTAGTGGTGCCCGATGTTTCGAGAGGTGCAAACTGTCATTCTATCTCGTGTGGTGTGTGCCTTTTCCATTCTTTGGTACATCTTTGACTCACTCAGACAAGCCCTGAATTAGACTTAGCTTATGAAACATTACTCCCCCATCCGTATTCTATAATTATCATTTTCGTCCTTTTTATAACCAATCGACCTCCTAGTGAGATTCACTAGAAGTTGGTAAATTACATTGCATTTTCTCATTCTGAGGCAATTCTACATTCTACTTCAAGGCTTTGATGTCTGATATTTGACAGAAGGATCTTACAATGTGCTTTTATGTACTAATAGCGTCGGACCGCAAATGTTAGACCTTTGTTAGGCCACACTTCTTTTCACTTTAAGGATTTTGATATTGAAACATTTGGTTGATATGTCAATAAGAAATGAAAATGAAATGCACAGTGCATGATCTTTTTTTCAAAGTAATCTTTTTTATAGCATGGTAAGTTTGATTGGGCTCAATAGGTGAATCTTGTCAAACATCGAGAATAAAAGCTGGTTTTTTTAACAACCTGTTTGCCAGCAGATGACAGCACAGTGAGGTTCTTTTAGTAAAAGATTATAAATGGATTGCTTACAGGAATCTTCCATTTTGTATATTAAGTTTTGCCTCCATTATCACATACAAACATGAGTTTGATTTACCAACCTTTTCATCCTTCTTAATTATCCGTTTATCAGGTCGGAAGGTCGAAATAATAAATTGAAAAAAAAAACGAATAAAAAAGTATTTTGGCTTTCCTTAAAATGTTGTTTTTAAGATAAATACTCAACAGTTATTAACAGTTTGATTTTAAGTAATTTATTTGTATTGATAACCACAGAAAATAAGTCCGCTTTTAACATTTTAATTTTTATGACCGGACGTAAAACGAAGCCTACTGCTTTTATGTTGTTCACAATTTTTTGGGGGGAATCGGCTGATTCGTAATCCAAGCTGAAAAAAAGTCTGACCTTTGCGGTTCAATGAACAAAGTGTAAATTAACGGGACGCCCGTTTGACACAATATTCATTGAGAGCTTTCAATGTTTATTCCCCCTTCGGTCTGATACCGGTAACCTTGAGTGAGTGAGTGAATATGGTTTTACACCGCTTTTAGCAATATTCCAGCAATATCACGGCGGGGGACACCAGACTTGGGCTTCACATATTGTACCCATGTCAGGAACTGAATTCACTTTAGCCTGTATTGTTTTCCCGGACCTGATTACGGATTCGCTGATCAGTGGTTTTATCCTAGAAACCGCAGATCGTGGGTTCGAATCCCAGTGTCTGGCTTGTTATGTTTCAAGGTTTGTCAGCACCATAGTCGCTTTTTCTGCTTTCACCAAAGGCCCAAGATCTGCATCACATCGCGTTGTCCTCCCACATCAAGCTGACACGCCATGTTATAGCTGAAATATTGTGTTTTCAAACGAAGGATCGATGGCGAAAGCATCTTTTCTTTCTTCTGTCAACAGCCAAATAACAATATCTCGATAAAACTACTTAAACGCTAAATCTATTCATAACAAACAAAACCAAGTCTAGAAAATAGCTTCAGCCAAAGACAACAAAACGTAATACATTTTGAGGATAAGCTTCGTCAGTAAAATAAAGAATTCTTTTCTAGCAATACCAAAATATAAAAAGGTAATCTTCAGCTAAATAAAAGAAGGTGTGATCTATTTCACAGTTCGTTGTTTACTAAAATAAGATATGTATTGTCCGTTTAGAAGATAGAAATGAACACAAACAATATATTCCGCCCACGACATCCATATCTCCCGCGTTGTTCTCCGGAACCTGACCACCCTGAAGTTAAATGTCATTTGCTGTGGTACACATAACAGTACCTAGACAGGATGTTTGTGTCTACAATGAGATGGATTTGTTACAAACAGCTTTAAAAAGACATATGCAAGTATTATCCGGTGACCAAGTGTCCCCTACAACGCGTGCGTGGGAGCGTTGCCTTGGAGTCGTCCTTGGAGTTTAGACGGTTCACAGGTGACAACTGTTTGTTGTCGAAGGTACATGAGATGAACGCACATAAAGATAAGAAGTGGTTGATATGGGGGCACAGGATAGTTTTTTTAAAGTGTTTTTTGTCCGAACAGTACTTCCATTATAATGTGGGAGGAAAACTGGAGGAGATGTAGGTTTCGGACTTCTGCCACTTTGGGTAAACGCGAACCGTGATGCGAACCTAAGATTATAGAATCCGCGCACGTCAAAGGGACGCTATTTGCGGCGCCTTAAGTGACGTGACCGCTAGTGAAGGGAGTGAGTGAGTGAGTTTAAATGTAAAGTCATATTAGCACTACTTCAGCCATATCCTGACCGGAATATGTCTTAGCTCATAGCATACATATACAAGCTATCATCGATGGACAGTAAAGCAACTAGACTATGACAGATTGGTATTTCAAACTTAGAATGAGAACATCAGAGTGGCTTTAAATAGGATCAGTGATGCGGTCCTGCATACCCTCTGAAGGGTACATCACCCACCTTTAGGAAACAACTAACAATTTCTGTTACCAGTTACATACAAGATGTTTACTTTGCTCAATATCTCAAAATGTATCAATTAAACCAATTTCTTCTCAAAAGAAAATCAATATGAAGCGGAGACAGTGCTTTGATATATAATAATATTTATTCCAACGACAAAAATATATATTTCACATAAATCGCTGAATTTATGTTCTTAATGACATGTTGAATTTTAGGTTGACGCCCAGTTAACGGTACAAATGTTTTGAAAAGTCTTCAGTCGACCGAAATTCATATTTTTACGAACCGGATGTCCAGTTTAGAATAGACTATGCATAGACTCGTTAGTCCAGCCAAAATGTGACTCAGGAGTTCCAGCTCAGAAGGGCAAGGATGGAAACTGGACTTCTATAGTCAGATAATTCCCTTGCCTCGGGAAGATGATCTCTGGGGGTCGTAAGAAGCGACTTAATGATTGGGTGGTCATGCTCGGTGGTTTGGCGATGTCGTGTCGTTGCTGATATTAGTCACTGGCTTCGTTCAATCTTAAAATGCAATTGCCATATAGCATGCGGGTATTTTAAACTGGTCCACAACATTAAACCAGTGGACCAGGGTGCCATTGTACAAAACAACCTTAGCGCAACGACTGTCGTAAGTCTTTGTTTAGGTATGGGAGTTACGATAACCTTAGCGCTAAGATCGCTTTGTACAATGGCCGCCAGAGCTGTCACGTTCATGTGACATCCTGTCGTCTTCATATTTTATAAGGACCGCCTCCGTGGTCTACTGGTAGAGCGTCCGCCCGGAGAGCGGAAGGCCTGGGGTTCGATCCCCGGCCGCGTCATACCAAAAGACGTTAAAAAATGGAACTTGTTGTTACCATGTCTGGCGTTCTGCATTAAGGGGCTAAAACAAGGGCTGGTCGGCTCGGAGTCAGTATACTGTGTCTGAGTGGGGTATTCATGTTAAACTGCGGCATGGTATCTCAGTGAGCTAGCACTATAAATCGGCATCAGTCCGGACTAGTACAAGCAGCCACACAAACACACACACTCACACGTGCATGCACGTCACTATAAAAGTGCAATAATTTTGGACGCGACGTTAAACCCCATTTCACATCACCTTACCTATGTTTTTAAAAAGATGGTGGACGGGAAATTGTGGTATTATAAACAAAGAAGAGAATGCATGGATGTCAACTTCTTTATTATGAGGAACACAACGTTTTGGTGTATTTGATTACACCTTCATCAGGTAAATGAATGCCATGAGGCAGAGAGCATATATATGTACATCTAAGGACAACAAAATTAATAAGATAACAAAAGCTGGAAAATAACAAAGAGTAGAAACTAACAAGGGAAGCCAACAGATGATTGGCGTTGATAGGTGATTAGCAATAGACAATGGAAGCCAACACTTAACAGTAACTAGCGCTGAAGGTTAGACTGACTGACTGAGTATGGTTTTACGCCGCTTTTAGCAATATTCCAGCAATATCACGGCGGGGGACACCAGAAATGGGCTTCACACATTGTACCCATGTCGGGAATCGAACCCGGGTCTTCGGCGTGACGAGCGAACGCTTTAACCACTAGGCTACCCGACCGCCCCCTGAAGGTTAGAGGCCAGTACTTAGAAGTGACACACATAAGGAAGAGAATTTATGGATGGCAACTTCTAAATGCCTTTCAAAGACGTGTATTATGAATAACATTTAATAAATTAGAATTTAAAATAAAGCGGCTTCATAATAGTAGAAGTTTGTATTTCATAATTAATATTTTCTGTATATAAATCGCCTATAGCATATTTATCAATCTAGCAAACGACCTTGCGTCGACAACCATCATAGGTGTTTTTTTGTCTGTTATATCAACCTTTTCAATTTGGACGGATAGATTTTGAGATAGACCTTTTTGTGATTAACACTTGGACATGCTTCCACGACACAAAGACATCGTCCCCCTAACGCACCCACTAAACCTTAAGCTTAATACAACAAACATGTCCCGTACATCAACTCACGCACCTGTTGACATCATAAGTTCCAAATGATCTTTCTGTTGAATTGTGAGTAAGCGTCACAAAATAATACTGAAAACAGTTCCTTTAATGTTAACAACTTCACTAAACTCCTAAAAAATGTTAGTCCTTGATTACAATTTCAAATGTACTGTGCGCCCTTTTAAGAATAACTCCCAGTTTGTCATCTTGACAGGAAAGGTTTTAATTGAAATTACTGAATGGTTACAAGTTTATGGGCGACGGTATCTGAAAGCGAGCTTCACGGTGTATCTTGTTCTCTTTGTTTACATGTTGCTAATGAACGGGTACCTAGTAACATACACAGATAAACAAATTACTGATCACCCGATGCATTTAATGGAAATTGATTAGCGACACTGACACGTCAGAAATAAACACCTGTCAATAAAACAGCCACGCGTCAGGAAGCACGGTTTGTCCAGTTCCCCGGCGAGGCGACCGCGTGAGGCTGCGCTTTGTGACAGCGAGGTTCTACATGGATGGGTACGAGACAACGATTTCATTTTTATATTTCTCCCGTTGAGTTTTGGCATGGGCAAGGGGTATCAAAGTATATATGTGCGTGTGTTAGTGTGTGTGTTAGTGTGTGTGTGTGTGTGTAATATTAAGTAATAACGATTATTGCTGATATATTAACACGGGCTACTGCAGAATTTCTGTTTGGTGTTTGGTCAAGGTTGTATTTTAATAAGTGGTTTAATAAATGAAAATTAATGAATGCAAGTCTTCTGTTGAAATGACTATTATTCTAACGTCGCATCGGTATCGTTTAAGCTATGTCGACGATACGTTATAGTTTAAAGTCACAATAATCACAATAACAGGTAATGTATTGTATACTCCCCAGGGAGCTGAGTTTAAAATCAAAGTGCATAGTGATCCTTTCATTAATGCTGTGGCGCAATGATCACATTATTATTGTTGTTGTTGTTGTTGTTGTCGTTGTTGTTGTTGTTGTTGTTGATTACACATTATAATGCACATTATAGTGCATGTCGATTGCCCTGGTAAGTAATTCAATTATATTTAATTTCCTCATTTTTTGTCGGAAAATATAACCGTCTCGACCGCCCCTTACTGTGAACTGTGACACGGCGAAACCGATTTTCTTTCGAATAAACTT